TAGAGTTGAAGCAGTGTATAATAGAGCTTCGTTTCGAAAGTCAATTAACAAGCTATAATAATAGTGACTTCGTATTTGTGGCTTGCAAGGCTCAGGCCCATCAGGCTCCGCCTCTTCCGTCTTAATGACATAAATTTTATGACGAACGAAAATATAAATGTGTATATTTTAAGTTGCTTGAAGTTTTCTGGGTTTGAAATAATTTGACTCTTAGCGCGGTTGCCTTCTAAAATAGATTTCCATATTATACATGTAGATTATAAAAATTGTTAAAAACTATATACCTTCCATTTTATATTATGTTGTTTCCTGAATGATAATCTGGCCTACTTGGCTATTAGAGTTAGTAGTTCTGTATCATGCACTATTCTCTCTCGTTGCGTATGATTTAGACAAGCTTAGTTAGTTACGTTCATGCTAGAACGTTTTTGTGCGAAATATTTTTGTTTCAGAACGCATTTTAGAGCAAAAGAATCAATTAAATAGCAGTCTATTTTCTAAATCAATAGATGCAAATTGAATCCGTGCGCATTAAAATATTTTAAATATATGTAGTTCTATTTGGGATAAATCCTATCCCCAAAGAGTTCTTCGTAAGTTAAGGAAGCCTTGGGAGCCTTTGTAGCACCCGAAGGCTTCGAGCGCAGCACAGCCGTTTACTTTGTTTTAATAGAACACGTTTTTAACGCAACCCATCGACCAAACCCTTCGGCTTGTAGAGTGCCGGTCATCATAAGTTCAGATAATGACTATGGAAGCATGAAAGCAGAGGAGTGTTGTTGTGGGGCGGCCGGTACAAAACTCACAATTTTGTGTCCCGGATGCCTCGTTGTTTCTGGCGACTTGCCCAGCGTGCCCACTGTGCCCCCGTGTCCACGTTGACAGCGCGCAGTAGTAATAGCGCACGATTCCCAGTTCGTTGTTCTTGCGCATACACGATCGAGCTCGCTCTTCTGCCCGAAGCAGCAGCGGACGTGGGTGCCGCAGGGCAGGCCTTCGGCAGTCTGTCCTCTTCCTCGCGGCTCCTCGGCCACGAGTCCTGCGCCATGTCCTCGTCCGCTGCAGCTCCTGTTGCCTGCTGTGCTGCTGCTGGCCGGCGACGCGCTCTGTGAGGACGCCGCCCCTCGTCCTCCGCAAGTGCCTGTAAGCGAGGACAAGCCCTGCAGGCCACCGATTACAGGCATTTGCAATATGACACGAAGAGGTAGTCAGGAATTCGAAGAACTGCGTGTGGTATCCAAAAGCACGAATCGAGTCGCCTTGGACGGACGAAGTTGCCAGAACGTTGTTTCCATCCCACGTCCGCGCCGGATTGGAGCTATGATACGCAATGTTTCATGTTGCCTTTACGCCCGTAGATACTGGCCAGCGAGCGTTTCAAAATTCGTCTTATCGAAAATGGTACACTCCAAGTGAAAAGAATAAGGATTTCTCAGCGCGAAAATTTATTGTACCGATCGAGTTGTACGAGAGAAAGCAACAGAAAGGATGAGATTTTACGTCTAATATTTTGTAGTTTAAAGAAGTGTTGCCCAAATAACAAAGAAGTACATTGGAATACTCGTACAAGAAATTTGTCTTGCATTAATCAGGTCAATGAACGTCAGAAATGGACACCGAAAGTTTATGACCAACGCTTTCGTTTGCTCAACAGATCTGAGTTCCTTTGCAGTTAGTTAACTGCGGATGATAATGAGTTGTGGTAGAGTGAACTACAGATTATTTAGTGGATAACAAAAACTCATTAATATCCAATTGAATGGTTCTGGTTTCGGATGGGTGTTGGTGATCCTTTTTAACGTGATTTTCAATTCGGCAATTTCGTGTGTAGACAGAACTTATGTTAGAGTTTAGAGCAAAAGAATCAATTAAATAGCATCATTTTCTAAATCAATAGATGCAAATTGAATCCGTGCATTAAATATATGTAAGTTATTGGGATAAAATCTATCCCCAAAGAGTGTCTTCGTAAGTAAGGAAGCCTTGGAGCCTTGTAGCACCCGAAGGCTTCGACCAGCACAGCCTTTACTTTGTTTTAATAGAACACGTTTTAACGCAACCCATTCGACAACCTTCGCTTGTAGAGTGCCGTCATCATAAGTTCAATGACTATGGAAGATGAAAGCAGAGGGAGTGTTGGTTGTGGGGCGGCCGACAAAACTCACAATTTTGTGTCGATGCCTCGTTGTTTCTGCGACTGTGCCCAGCGTGCCCACTGTGCCCCCTGTCACGTGACGCGCGCAGAGGAATAGCGCACTTCCACGTCGTGTGTTTGCGCAACACGATCCGAGGCTCGCTCGCGCCCAACAGAGGCGGACGTGGGGTGCCGCAGGGCGGCCTTCGCAGTCCTCTTCTCCGCTCCTCGGCCGATCCTCCTGTCCTCGCCGCTGCAGCTCTGTTGCTCTTGCTGCTGCTGCCGGCGACGCGCTCCTGTGAGGACGCCGCCCTCGGTCCTCGCAAGTGCTGTAAGCGAGGACAAGCCCTCAGGCCACGATTACAGGTTGCATTACACGAAAGTATCAGGAAGTCGAAGACTGCGTTGGTATCCAAAAGCACGATCGAGTCGCCTTGGACGGACGAGTTGCAACGTTGTTCCATCCACTCGCGGATGGAGCTATTGAATACGGCAATGGTTTCATGTGCTTGACGCCCGTAATACTGCCAGCGAGCGTTTCAGAAATTGTTCTTATCGAAAATGGTACACTCCAAGTGAAAAATAAGTATTTCTCACCGAAAATTTATTGTACCGATCGAGTTGTACAAAACAACACAAAGGAGTTTTACGTCTATATATTTTGTAGTTTAAAGAAGTGTTGCCCAAATAACAAAGAAGTACATTGGAATACTCGTACAAGAAATTTGTCTTGCATTAATCAGGTCGATGAACGTCAGAAATGGACACCGAAAGTTTATGACCAACGCTTTCGTTTGCTCAACAGATCTGAGTTTCCTTTGCAGTTATTTACTGGCGGTGTAATGAGTTGTGGTAGAGTGAACTACAGATATTTAGTGGATAACAAAAACTCATTTAATATCCAATTGAATGGTTCTGTTCATGTTGGTGATCCTTTTAACGTGGATTTTCAATTCGGCAATTTCTGTGTAGACAGAACTTATGTTAGAGAGGAACTACACACCGCCATTGTTGTTTGCGCTCCAACTCCTGCAAAAATGGTAAGTGAGTCAATTCACATTCGAAATTTGTTAAAAAGGATATACAACTTTAATTCCACAATAGGTTGCTATTCCTTCTTTTTTAAATATTGCAACCTGCAGTTATGATGAACAAGTGTTTAGAAGTGTAAAATAACGTAAATTTAGATAAAGACTTTTCCCTGATAAGTATGAAAATATTAATTACCAAACAATATTTTAATACTTCTCTTACATTTCTTTCAAAAGTTACAATTTAAATTTTGAAATTGTTTGAAAAATAAATATGCACTAATAACTATTTTTCGTTATTTCCATAAATATCGATATCATCAACTATAGGTTCGTTGTTAGTTGTTAGTGATTTCGGACGCGTCAGCTAATGGGGTCATTCGTCGTGTGAGTGAAGTACACGTGTTTTCTCGTGAAGTGGCGTCGATCTTCCGTACTGTAAATTTGTTCTGATGATCTTTGAACCACACAAATTTACTACCAGCTGTGTGTCACGTTGTATTGTCCTGCTGGCAAATATCTTTTTGATGATAAACGAGCTGCATATAGTGATGGGCATGTTCCCCAAAGAGGGGTACATGCTTCTGTTCTTTAATTATGCCTTCCAGAGCGAGAGATCCACCCAGGTATTGCCACGAAAATATTCCCCACGCCATCACGATCCCTCCTCGGGCCTGGAAACATCCGGAAATTGTTGCAAGGTGTTTTCATTGAGACGTTCAACATAATATTCTCTAGTAACCATCTTCCCGATGGAGTCGAAAACATAATTCATTTCAATAGGCCCCATGTCACGCCACTTAGTGGACGTCCAGGCGCCGGTTTTGGATATCATCATAATGCCATGCACGGCGGCACGCGAACAATTAACCAACTAAGCTGTTTTGGAAATGCTGATGACTTGGTCTCGAAAGTCAATGATCATACCTCTTTGGACATCCGATAAATCATTCGTTTCTGCGTTGCGACAACTACTCTACTAATTTCCACTTGCACTCAACACGCTTTGCATGCCTTCCACTGTTAGTGCTTCCACGTGTCGCCTATGAGGGGTTATTGAACCTTTTCGCTAAACATAGGCGGTAAACACGTTTATGTGACTGAACAGTAAGTTTTTTTTCAATCGTGAAACACTGAGTTGACTAGTTAACGGATGAGATCTTGTTACGTTCCAACGTGTGGCAAGAAATACGCCACGAAGCTGTAAGTAGCTTCCTCGTTTCACAAATCTCCGGCCAGGTGTGGCGAATACTTCCGGAACATTTCTCGACTCTTTTAATTTATCTTTCCATTACTTAAGTTACAAACACAATCTCACCTTTCTTTTACTTACAACTTTTAATAATGTCTTTTTTTCTCAACAATTATTCTTTCACAAGTATCCTTTCATATTTAACTATATCCAGGGCCGGATTTAAGTAGTGCGGGGCCCCAGGCACAAAATTGGATTGCCCCCCCGAAAAATAGCTCCATCTTTATTTAATAAAAAATGTATTATATTACAAGTACTTTCTGTACAGATACAAATGAAAACTGATAATTTTTATAGAAATTTTTACTTGTGTTACATTTTTTTACATTAATATATTTTACATAATTTTTTTATTTATCATTTTACAGTATTTTTCCGAAACTCGGGGCTCCTGTTGAATGGGGGACCCCAAGCTACTGCTTGTTTTGCTTGAAGGAAAATCCGGCTCTGACTCTATCTTCTATCCTTTACTACTCCATGTAGTTACATTTGTTTTGCTCGACTTCTTTTTCCCCTTTACAAAAGTTCACTAAAAATCACTCTTATCACGCCTGGCATTAGCTATTTCTGCCAAGAAGTTCAATGAACGGAAGAAAAGCTTCAAGTCACTTTCTCATCACGTTGCAATATTTCAATCCTCACCGAAATCTAACCTGTGGC